AAGTTCATCGATCCTACCATTTCTGTTAAAAAAATTCGTAAAAATAGTTTTTTTACGAAAACGGCTTACTCCTCCGCATGTAATTCCTCCCTTAATATCGTTAAAATTACGCTTATCTTCGCCGCCAACTACATCTACTTGTATAGTAAAAAAATAATTCGAAACAGAATTCTAGCGCTGTGCGATTTTCGCTGCAAATATGAAGGATCTCTACCGCTAAGAAGCGAATGCGGGGCTCGTGGGCATTCTCGATCTCGCTATTCGAACGCTCAATTTCCGATACAACGAGACGCCTGAGATACGGAGTGTAACGGCACACATGTCAAAAGCGCGAGAAACCGGGAGAGAGAGAGAGAGAGAGAGAGAAAGAGAGAGAAAGAGAGAGAGAGGCGGGGAAAGAAACAACGTACACGGAGACGAAGAACAGCGGTCACTGAAAATTTTCAAGTGCTTTCGGCGCCGTGGGCACGCCTGCATGCCGACACGTTCCTATGAATCACGATTCCGCATAGGCGTGGACGCCAGCTTGCATGGACTCGTGCGGCAACGAACGCGTCGCATAAATCTGCATCGCGAATGAGGGACAGAGGGAGGACAGAGGAGACGAGAGAGATCCCGGCGAAGTCGATAATTTCTTCGAGTCGGCGATACGCACGATATTTCGCGACGAATTAGGGTCAATTGCATCGACGACGACGATGACGGCGACGATGATGTTCCTGGTCAGTTGGCTCTAACGATTTCCTGTGTCTCTTCGAGTGTATCGTCCGCGAAGGAGACGGTTTAGATAGCACTGATGGCAAACCAACAATTGGCTTTGAGATCAAGGGGGGTTTAATCGAAGCAGATGCAATTAAAACGTCCGTCGAAGCGCGCGGTATCTCGTGTCGCGCACGACAGGAAATTGGATTCCCGTAGCGTCAATAGTACACAACATCGTGATCCTGAGGCTCTTATCTATTATACACAGACTATTTTCCCCGAGCGTCTGTATGCGGGTGTCTACTTGTGTCTGTTGTTGCAGGAGCCTCAGGCTCCTAAATATTTGTGATAATTGCTTGAAACTTGTCTCACGTGAGGTAAAGCGGTCCCACTCGCCTCTGAATTCAAAAGTGAGACTGCCTGAGTTGAACGTCACAATGATTAAATTAAAGCTTTAAATTAAGGAATTAGCTCGGCTAATTCTAAGTTCAGACTCCACAAGTTCTGATTTCTACTCAATTCTAAATTCTAGATTCATCTGACTTCAGATAAACCTCACGTGAGGCAAGTTTCAAGCGACGACTGTGAATAGGAGCTTTATATCGCAAACAGACGGAGTTTCCCGCACGACGATGTCGCATAATAACGCCGTGGCGTTATCACACGTCCTTCCTTTTCCGCGCGTTGGAAGAAAGCAAATGGGCTCGAGTATCGGGAGGAGGATTTTCACTTAGATGTCATAACGCGACGCGCGTGTTAGAGGCTAATAAGCGGCGCGCTACCGTTATAACTGGCTGTGACATTCAAGGTTCGGGAAAGCATGGGAAAAGAAGCACGGGCAATCGCACGGCCGCCGAGACACCCGAGAGCGCGAGCGGATTCCTCCTCTCGTTCCGGAAACCGATCACGTAAGCCGCGATTCTGCTGGAAAATCGCTGCGGCCAGAAAAGGCGAGGAGGCGCGTTATGCGGCTCACGTAGTCGCGGCGACGACGACGACGACGGCAAGCGCGAGGCTCGCTCTTATGTCGCGCCGTGCGCGGTCACAACCCGTTGCACTCCGGAATTCCAGAGCGCCTCCTTTTGTGCCTCTTATCTGTTCCCGGAGATGCACCCGGAAACGCGCTAAAACCGCGCGGAGAGTCTGCGCGTGTTTCGAAGGAGGACTCTCAAGGATGTGATTCTCGTTATCAGCCTACACTGCAAACCCGAGTGTGTTATCTTGACATGTATAAGCTGAAGTTTTCTTCACGCGTTTCTTGTCTGAAATCTGAAATCACAGTCATTTGATGTATTTCGATATCACTTTAAACGCGTTAAACGATGTGAGTTAAGACGAGCAAGATTTAAGACGCGTAAAAGAAGCTTCAGCTTATCGCGTCAAAATAACACACTCGGGTTTGCAGTGTAGGCGGCGGCAAACGTGAGTCCGTTATCGACTCCGTCAAATTTCATTTCGATTGCAATAATTAAGATGTGAATATTCCAATACATCAAAAACATCGAAGAATGTATCGACGGAGAGCCGACCGGCTCCCGTTCTGCGACCGTCTAGATCAGCATTTTCCAACCGGTGTGCCGTGAGAGGATCTAAAGTGTGTCGTGAAAATTTTCAAAGATAATTAGTTAAATTATTTTCGAAAGCAGTTTAAAGCATAGTAAGTATATACGTTAAAATTAAAACCTCTTTAAATTGATTATACGAATCATTGTTATAATCATCATTGTTATAATAAATAAAAACACCGGGTTATTTCCAAAGTGGGTGTTATTTAAGTATTATTATTTAAGTGGGTGGACCTTTATTACAAATTACAATAAATTGTTTTATTTTATTTTTTGACCGTGATGGTGCATTTTGTTTGTATTAATAAAAAAATCAAAAAAGATATATTCTTTTTTATACTCTTTTTTTGATCGTCATAATTTAACTGTGCCGCGGAAGTTTAACTAGAGGTTCAAGTGTGCCGTGAGATAAGATAGGTTGAAAAACACTGGTCTAGACGGACAAAGTGAGTATCTCGCAGCTTACCGCTTTTACCGAAGAAACTCCTCCTACCTCACCAGAGATAAAAAGCCGCGTTGTTTCGAGGACGTGACCGCGAACTGAGTCGAGAAATACGCGAGTAGCGAAGAAATCGACTCCGATGGATATCGGAGCGATAAATTCGAGAAGTGCGACGCGACGGGGTCGATCGCAGATCTCGGAATTCCCATGTCTAGATATATTCACCATCGTTGCGTGCATTCGCGACGACGACGCCCGGTCGATCGAGCGAAACTCGCGCGACATCGCGCCGCGCCGCTGAGAGATAATCAAGTGAGACAACGCAAACGGCGTTGCGTCCTGCTAATATTTGATCGGAGATAACGCGCGAATCAGAACTCGCGCGCAATCGTTATGCTCCCCGGATGAGGACGGAGAGATTCAATTAAATCGATGACGATCGCGCGCCCAGAAATTGGAATATTCGCTCAGCGACTCAATTGCAAAATTTCATCACGCTTCAGAGCTCTGTGCAGTAAACGGTATCGCGGTATCTTTATTGGTTATCTGGGGTGTTTCATAGAGTGCCTTCTGTACCCTTCTCTACTCTAACGTTGTTAGAAAATTGACGGAAATTAACTTCACTAACTTAGGAAGATGAATGAAAATAGACACACACGCGCGCGCGCGCGTATAAATAAAAATCTCATCTCTGACAGATAATTTTGTATATATAATAATGTATAATATTTCTTGGGAATTTCCTTTTCCATTGGTCCGAGGTCGATTATGTGACATTTCTTAGCGCAAATTTGCGAGCTAATCCGAACAGCTGGAAATTGCTTCCCAACGATTATTTACTAAAATAATGATCATTTTTCAGTAATATCGACTGGCTCTACGTTTATCTTTTATCGCTTGATTAAACCAGTGGATATTTCATGAGTTAACAATATTCTGAAAACTGCCGCAAACTACGATCGACAGCTGAAAGATAAACATATAATGATAATATTATCTTCAATTAAGAGATATAGAACTCACGCGTCTATCGATACTCTTGAGCAAGTTCCTTACATGCGTCCCACTTACTCGCTTATATCTTGAAGAACGCGGTAAAACAGTTTGCGAGAAAATCGCCTTCGGAATTAGAAGACTCGAAAGAATTTAAAACACACAGAGTTATATTCAGCGGCGAGCAGACTTGGCAAATATTTATAATGCGATTGCCTGTGATCGGTAATTATTTGTCAAGTGTATCGAGCAGTCTATCTTCGACAAATGATTCCTGACGCACGATATAACGCAGCTGTGAAAATAAACAAAAGATATCCCAACTTATTTCAGCATCTGAGCAAACTCTTCCGACGAGAAGCATGCGTAAGGCAGGGGGAGAGAGGAGGAGGGGAAAGAGGAGGACTGACTCTTATATTCTATCCGAAATAACATGCGGCTCGTGCCTGTTTTCAAAGCACATTGAATTCTCTCGCTTCAACGGTAGTTTAATAAACCCGCACGACGAGGAGAACGATACCAAATAAAAGAAAAAAAAGATACAGCGGAAATATACGTTGACTCGATCATTTTTTTTTTCAGAGGATTCCAAAGCGGATGACGAATGCCAAAAATGTCGAGAATGTAGAGGCGATCGTCGAAAATCACGTCACGTTAAATAAACATGGAAGAAGAAACAAGTAATCGACGACCGAAATGTACTTGCCGTCGAACAACATTGTTACGATACATATATTTACGTTAGGTTTCAACGAAATTTGAATATTCGTCGAAAATTCACATTTACCAGAATAGATATGTTATCTGTCTAGTCGTTCGTATCATATACGAATACGAACAATTCTGACAGTTGATTGTTCAGCTAATCATCGTCATCATTTTAACAACCTGATATCCTGACTGCGACCAGATAAGATGGGAACAATTAATAAAAAGCAACACATTTTGTCCCACTAAGTATTAAGATTTTATTGAAGTTTAATACACGTGTGTATTTTTGTCTGAATATTTCATGGGGAAAGTTCCTATGTGCGCTTCTCTTAGAACGATTAGCACGATTTATGGGAATATTTCGGGACAGCCGACCGTTTACAAGAAATCGCGACAACTAAACGTTCGGTTACACGACACACACCGGCTGGGTCAAAATCGGGATTTTCGTCTTCCAAACAGCCATAATAATCACGGAGATTCGCTCGCTGGGGAATGACTTCACGGTGCTTAACTTCGGGGGCGAACGACCGTTTGCCGATATCTCAGAGGCGAACAAGGGACGCGTGCAGGAGACAATGACTTACGTGTTTCCACTCTCACCCTTGGACGAAATCGCGTGATCGATCTTCACGATCTTATCCGCCACCCGGTATATCACGGCGAACAATCCGCTCGTTCTTCAGCGTAGATCACTCTCTCGCGGCGGACACGCACACGCACACGCACACATAGTCGTGCTCGATACGCTCGCGTATCACCTCGACCAGGTGAATTTCCGCCGATTATCGCGTCGCGCTCGAATAGGAGCACGTAAAATCACGTCGTTCTCCGAGGAAATCCGTTTCTTCGCGACGATTACGGTGTCACGGCCACGTGACATGGTAGCAACGACTGCCCGCAGCTCGCTGCGTGAAACGACAGCATCGGTTCAGATACACTCGCACGTGACGTAAACTTTCAACGGAAATAGTATGTAAATCGACTAATCGCAGTGATTACGAGCAGACTACCACGACGAGACGCTTCCGAGTGCTTCGAGCCACTGTTGACGACCACTCGAAGGCGACGTCGAGACAAAAGTAACGTAGATACGTACCACGAAGATATAAAAGAACAAAGAGGTCAAAGGTATTCGAGACACTCCTAACGAGCAGAGACACATGCTCGCGCATCGGACTCGCCCGGCCGCGATAACGAAGATAACGAAATGCAGCTGCTGCTTCTTATCTTGCGTGTGTCGTGATCGCGTATCGAGTTAGTGACAGGTTCGGCGATGCTCGCCGCCACGTGCGCGAAAACACGTCGCGCCGTACGAAGCGGGAAACAGCAAAAGAAAGCACACAAAAAGAATGCACGAGGTCACGAGCGAAGAGAAGTGTCGGCTGCCAGGTAGATAGAACGCAGTCTTCGTCGCTCGAGCAACAGGTAGATACTGCGGCGAGAGGCCGAGGATGGGAACGGAGCGAGCGTGCCACTCTCGCGGATGGACGGATCGAAATGCCGAGAGCAGAGCTCCGCGTTAAGCAGGCGTTCACACCGGCGCGCGCGGGCGGAAGGAACGAGCACGTGCTGTCTGCGAAAAGAACCGTTCGCGGGATATTGGCGCGAATAAAATTGACGCGAGAGAATCGCTCGAACGTGCCACGACGCACGTACAGCCGAATATTCCCCCCCCCGCCGCGTCGAATCATCGCATATTAATTTATTATTAATAGGAAATTCCCATTCCCAATTAATTCTTAATTTACTATTAATAGGAAACTCCCATTCTCTTCCCATTGGCAAATTTATGCACTATAATCGATTCTCTCTAAATCTCCACCTACCGTTTTACGTCATCGTTGACGATTAATAACCGACATCGCGACGTCACGTCGCACAAAAAACTTTTTTTTTTCTTTCTACTATGTTCTTGAGAATATGACACACTTTCATGTTTCCTCTCCGATATTATTCTTCTTTTCCTCCCCACAGACTGTACTTTGATTCCCGTAGGAATTTGCAAAATTTCCGTACTCGATGATGATGCTTATCGAATTGATTGTTAATTATCGAATGTAAATTATCGAGGTGTAAATTATCGAATATTCTTCCAATGATAGTTTTCTAACGAACGTGGAACGTCAAGGATGGATTATATTGTGACAAGTGTCGCGTAGAGAATATATATTTCGTTGTATATTTATTGTTACGAAAATCAGATCATCCCGTTTTGCGAGTGAATATCGTTAGTTTGATCTGAGAAAATAAAACGCGGAGACGCACGTCTCCGTTCTCTGCGCTCGCAGACCATCGTTACATCACGCCGTATATGAGTACGCATTAGTGTTTCTGCGAATCTGTACGTCTTGGAACCAGAGACTGCTCTGCCCGCGACAGCATATTAATCTCGTTATCTATGCGGCTGTATGATAATGCACAAGAACGGAAGAGATGTATTGAGAAATCTCGAGTAATTGGTAGATTACGGTCGAACGAGGAATAACAACGTGTAACGAGGAATAACAATTGTGCGACGTGGCACAGTTACAACCATATGTTACCATCGCGATTAATAATTCGATTAATAAAACGTCAGACTGATAACGTTCGTTAATGTTGTTCTGACATTCACACCACACCTTGGAAGAAAAAATGCTCAATCCAAAAAAAATGCTCAAAGTCACTTTCTTGATAATAATTATTTACGAAATTATAGTGACAAATATATCACACACGTTTTCCTCGGTGGTATGAAAAACAGTGGCCAGTTTGCGCCATCGAAGGTAATAGGTAATTAAATTTTTTTGAATACTTGATATGAATACTTAATATCCGTTCAATGTCGTGTGCGGCAGCCTTTGTCTCTTTTTTCTTTAATTTTCAAAAACTATTTCTTCTTACTATTATGTAACAGTCTTTCACTTTCAGACCGGGTTTTCTCCTGGTCATCAACCCGCCCGCAAGCGTTAGTACGAAAGAAGCTAGGTGTAAATCGGACCTGTGGCGATTTTCGGTGTGAACGTCGCTGCAAAACGTACGCGCAGGAGGTGGGGGTTCAATCGTCGCAATGAATTACAACGAGCCAGTCACTGAGAGTGACTCACCGAGTACTCTAGCCGCCGCTGGTCGCCGCCGCGCTGCGCGGCACGTCACGCCGATAATAAAAGGCTCTCTCGGCTCTCCTTGCTCTGGAAAGAGGAATTTGTACCGCTCGAGAAGGAAGTGAATAACACGAGCCGAGCATTAGGCGGATACCCGGGTGGGTCCGGCACCCCATCAGCGACCCGCTCTGCCGACGCCGTCGTATAGACCGGTTCGACCGCGAATCATGAATCATCGGAATGCCATATCGGCGCGTCTTTGAGTGCTCTAATGCGTGGATTCGGAGGAAAACTCTCTAGAACCTGACGGCACCATTTAGGCCTCCGAGCATACGAACGATAAGAAGGCCCGGTATATGCGGATTACGGCCGGGAGATCGTCACGGCGATGACGGGGCGACGCTGAAGAGAGCGTTGAACTGGACGATAAAAAAATAATAAAAATGTCGACAATTTATCACTCGCAAGAAGAGTGAGAGTGAAAGTGAGAGAGAGAGAGAGAGAATCCCGATTTTCGAAGGAAAGTACAGCTCGTGGAGAATCGTGTTTCGAAAATGTCCGGTGCGGTATGAGAAACTTGGTCATTTCTCGTCTGGTTTCGCAAGCAGCAGAACGCCATGTGCTTGTTAAAGTTTAAACTAAAAAGGAGCTCGGGACACCGCGTGCATAAACCCGCGCTCTCTCACGTCGACTCGTGCGTGCGGTAACTCTTTCGAGCTCAGCGCGGTACCCCTTGCGAGCGTTAAAATTGTCGCCGTCTCGGGCGCGATATCTTGCGACATCTTCGAGACGTATACGACGAGCCGCGCGCGGTATACACACGCACGCGCGCGGCGGTATTCGCTAATTGGCAGCCGAAGGGTTAACGCAGCCATTCGCGCACGGCGGCGCGTGTCTCTGCTTGTTCAGCCCGACGTTGCATTAATTACGTTACAAACGGTACTGTTATATTTAGCGGTGCCGCGCGCGCGCGCACACACGTACGGGATTTTCCGATGAACCGTGCGCGGTACGTGAATACACCTCCTCTTCTTCTTCTTCCTCCTCCTCCTCCTCCTCCTCCTCCTCTTCCTTCTTTTCGGGCCGCGCGCTGAAGCAACGCGAATCTTTGATGCAACGCTCTTACGCAGCCACGTAAGAGAGACGCACTCACTCGTTAAAATGTCAAATTTAATTCAACGTTTATTCAATGTCGAAATTACGTGACTGCCGAGGTGGGCAAAACACCACAGGCCACCGAAAACTGCGGCTGCCGTGTGGTGCAATTTGATAAACAGTTGGATAACTCGATAGTTCGTCGAGGTCGTTATTCCATCCGTTAAATTAATACAATGATTATGTTGTTTGTTTGTCATGAATAATAATAATCTCGTCTGTAACACGATAATTTTTATCTCTGTTGTTGGGAGTTCAAGTATTACAGATAGTAAACATCGAGGATGAGATAGATCTAGAAGTGAGAGATAAGCGAGGAAACGACTCAATTATGAACGCACGATTGTAAAACTTGAACTCACGACTTGTGTAACACGAGACTTCGAGATCGAGCTTCATACTTTCCGCTCGCACGGAAATTCTCGATCGCGGGGATCTCGGAGATCGATGCGAGGATCGGCGCATCGAGTACGTGGGCACTTAAGTCTGATTATCTTCCGCACCTTTCACCGACTTCGATAAAATATTATATTTAAAGCAACGACGCGCGTAACGTCGTGGCCGCGAGGGAATGAAGAAATCTCGCGGTGATTTTATCGCGATTTATCCGCGTTCGCGGAATGCGACATCGTAATTGCATCACAGAAGGACACGTGCGTTTCTCTCTCTTTCTCTGTCCCCTCCCCCCCTCTTCTTCCCTCTTTCTTTCTTCTGCCCCCCCTCTCCATTCTCTCGCTCTTTCTTTTTCACCTCTCGTACCTCTCAAGACTTTCTTACGGGGCTTAATTTTCCAGCTCAGTGAGCACACATTTGACGCGCGAGCATTCGACTACGAATTATTCTCACGTTTCTTGTTTTCACGGCATTCATAAGTACCAAGTACCGAAGTCTTGATATCGACGAAATGTCCCAGATACCATCGCCGTAATTTCCCGCGACAGATTCGACGAGGAAAAGCACGACGAATGCGAAAACCCCGGCAAGTATGGAGACTATTTTGCGACGTGGACTTGACTTCAAATTAAGTCGTACGCATTTAATCGAGCGAATAACGAGACGTCATTTTCGAAAAGGAAAGCGGGAAGAGAGAAATGGAAAACAGAGGAGATTCGCGTGAGATTGCCGTCGGCTCGGTTCGCAACGCTTTCCACCAATTTTCAACTCACTTTGTAAGAGTAATGACGTGTTCTTCTGGGCATCCTGACTCAGCGATGCATCCGCTATTATTCCTGGCGACTAAGACAAAAAGGCGCGCTTACTGACGGAAGTGACAAAGGATCGAGCCTCGTTCTCATCTCTCGATTCGCGGACGCGCGACGTTGGGATACTTTCTCAGCGCGGAATGAAAATGCGCGCGGCGCCACCGAAGAAGGCACGTGAGGCATTCACATTGTGCATCGCTCTCGTCGCTCTACGGGATCTTCGTGAACGACACTGGAGACCTCGCCTTCGATGGATTTCGTGACTAACGTGCGATCGGCTTGAGTCTCCAGGCGACTTATTATCGGATCTACAGTTTATTTCTTTTCTCACATTTCAGTGACTTTAAGGTGACTTCATTGGTCTGCAAAGTGAAATTTTTGCCGATTCTCAACGCTCTTCGTTATTTCACTAAGTCCGACAAAGACGTGCGAACACTACAGAGATTCTCTCTCTTGATCCTCAGGAGGAACGAAATTCGGACAAATGTACGTTTCACAGAGGAACATTCTACTTTTTTTCGAGCGACTCGAGACAACTCATTGGAGTAAAACAAATCAACCATCAACATTGAGTCGTTGGCTCTTCATCCTCGGTAACTCGGAAGTTATATCCATATTTGCGAATTAACTCTTATTCATACACCCAAAAAAAGTATTCTATTTGTAAAGTGATTTTTCCCATAGTCTTATAGTTCTAAGCGAAGCTTTTACAGAAAAAAGATTCTTCTTTCAATAAAGCGATTAGAGCAAATCAATTATCTAAAATTCATTAGATATTATTATTCTCTTTTCCTTTTATTTCAAGAGGATTTCCTCTTATTAATTAATTCTCAATTAATTTTCCTTTTATATGAAGAGGAATATGTTGATTTAAATGTCTGTGTAAATAACGAAAATAATTCACCCATATTTGGTCAAATACAGTTTATAATCTATTGCAGAAGTCGAATAATATATTCTTTCCTTTAACTATGTTTTATACAATTGGTTATGATGAGCATCTTTGTAGCTATGAAGTCCATAACAAAACTGATTGGAAATTTGTTTGTTATGATCTTATTTCATTCGTGCCTACTTATTGTAAAACTAGAACTAAAAAAGTACATCT